GGTACACCTGATTTGCAATTAATGAGTAAATTAAATAAGGTATTTAAAACCTACGATTTGTGCTGAAATGCTAAAAATGAAGTTCTGATAAATACAATTCACCAACTAGAAAGCAAGATGAACCAACATCAACTTGGGATCTGAATTACTTGAAGTGGCTGTTTATTACAAGGGTCCTGTGACTGATGCATGACTTTCCACCTCATCTCAGGCAGGTGTACCAGAGTCCGGGCTATCATTTTCCTCCCACTTGGACCTTCTCGAATTCACATCACAGTGATCGAAGAATTTACAACTTCGCTGGGCCATGAGAACATTAATATAAAAAATTATCATTGGCCCAAATTTCAGTTGAGTGGCAATTTAAATAGTTTTTATTTCAAAATAAAAGAGAAAGCAACAGGCACGTCTCACTAGCTAATTATGCGACATTGTTTTAGATATCTGATTACGTAAACCTTTATTTTAGGTTTTTGAAAGAGATGGAGTTTTAACGATAGAATTAAGAACAAACTTTCCTAAAGAATATAGTCATAACTGAGAGTCTCAGATGTCACCTAAATGGAACTTTTGAAAGACAAAGTTGGTTTATTTAAAATGAAAATAACAGTTCCTTCTGGAAAATACTAAAATTGTAAAAAGTTATCAGCTGACTTGCAAACAAAGAAAAACATGGACAGCTCAACCCTGCTGAGACTTCACAGCCACCAAGTAGGACACACTCTGAACCTGAGTTCACGTTCTTCTCAAACACGGACAAGTGGGTTACTCCTCACCTTTATACCACACTTGTCTATAATTTCTGCACTGGCTATAAAGAATACTTCAGGGATGATTAAAGAGCTAGCAAAATACTTTCCTCAACAATTCTAAGACACAATTTTTTTTCCCCTTACTGATTACATGTGGCAAGAAAGGGAAGTATAAATGAAGCTTTGGCTCTTTAAAGCAAAAGCGGCCTCTCCTTTAAGCACACTTATTACTTCTGTTTTTACAAACTTAGTAAGTTCTGAAATTTCCTAGAGCTAACTGACAAAGAACACCAAAGACTTTCCTCTTATATCTGTGCAAATTGCAAGAAATCGGTTTGGGGGTTTAAGGATTATTCTATGATTATAAAAATCCTGAATGCCTAGAAAATTAAGTGATAGTCTAATAGGCGGGACGGTGAAATGCGAATCCAGAGGCCTGGTCCTGCGCTTGGTCCCTAGTCGCCTCTGCAGTGGAATGAAGCTGCACCTCCTGGGCCTCGGACTGCTCTCCGTCCAGTGGGGAGCACTGCCCCTTCACACAGATGCGAGGATCAAAGCAGTATGGTCTAGAAAAGATTTTGAGTCCCATAGGAAAAGCAATAAATAAAACCCAACAGTAAATGTGATCAGCGTTATTAGGCGTGCCGAGCAGAGGGCCTCAAAAACCCCATTAAACCCCCAGAGACCAGAGTTGTGCGTCACATGTCAGGCACTTTGTGTCTTTTATTCTGTGCTAGTTTCCCGCCTCATATTATGAGGCCAGCCATCTGTGCACAAAATTTCTCATTTGAAATCCGGCAAAATTTTAAGTCACTCTCAGAGGGTGCTTTTCAGTCTGCGAAGAGCAACTCTTTGATCACAGCGTACTAGATTCACTGGCCAAACATCTACTGACTGCCTGCCATGTGCACTGGGATTTGCAGATGACAAATTCTGTACACTCCTGCAGGGCCCCTGCCGACAGGAGTTTACAATCCAGGGGGAGGGCAGTGTCCCATCTGCCTCACTGTCCAGCTCCCCAGAAATCCAAGGAGTATTCTTAGTAGGCACTCAGTAAGCATTTGTTGAATAAACCCAGGGCTTTTCTTTCTTTTTTAAAAAATCCTCACTGAGGATATTTTTCTATTTACCTTCAGATAGAGAGGGAGGGAGAGAGGGAGAGAGGGAGGGAGAGAAAGAGAGGGAGGGAGGGAGGGAAGGAGGGAGGAAGGGAGAGAGAGAAACATCAATGTGAAAGGGACATATCGACTGGTTGCCTCCCGCACGACCCCAAGCAGGGCAAGGGACAAACTGCAACTGAGATACGTGCTCTTGGCTGGAATCAAACGCAAGACTCACTGGTCCATGGGCCGACGCTCAAAGCGCTGAGCCAAACCAGCCAGGGCAGGGCAGGCTTTCTGCACTCATCAGTCCCCTCTCTCACAGGCTCTCCCAAGACTCACAGGCTTCAGCGGCAGCCACTGAACAAGGGCAGCCTCACCCGGCCCTTCCACCAGGTGCTTTTTAAGGAGGTCCCAGCACTTTTTAAATCAATGCAGTATAAGTGCAACTTATTCTTTCCCCAGATAATCAAATGTCTTCACCTGACCACAGGAGGCCTCCTCTTGAATCAAGAAAGCCAACATTCTGGAAGGTAACACTGCAGTGTTTTTAGGGGTCCCTGAGAAACGTTTTGGAATCCTGGTTTGGTATGAAGTAGGAACGCATCAGGTGGAACCCCAATGGACCAAGGCAGCTAACCTATTTCTCTGAAAACCTAACTTGCTGCCGTGAGTGACTGAGGTGCCATGGCAAAGACAGCCCTATCTTTACCACGTCAACAGAAAGAATGTCGTTTCTGTACATGGTCTAGGGAACCCCCCACACTTACAAATGATTTAAAAAGGCACTTCTAAAGCACCACTGAAGAACGTGCCATCATTAAAGTGGTAGTGCAATACAACAGAACACTTCGATACAGACGACGTGCCGTCCAACATCCCCCAAATGTTATAATTTGAAAAAAGCCTACTGTTAGCTATTAAGTCCTCACAGCAATGAAATAATGAATTAATGAAATACACAATGAATTTAGAAATTTCTTAGGCCAGATCTTTATAGCATACCAACTACTAGTTGGCAAACATTGTTTTTAATCCCACTAAAGAAAAGAAATGCAAACATCAAGTAAAACTACAAACTACAGATATATCAATATTTACACTCAACATGAGTTTAACACAGTAGTATAAACTGAAGGGCCACAGGCTCAAGAATTTATCTGAAGCACCAGGAGACAGTAATATATGTAGTCTGGAACTACAATTCAAAAGTAAACATATACAAACAGACTCACCAAGTCACACACACACACACACACACACACATGCACACACACACACACACGCACAGTCTCTCTCTCTATCCTATCTCTCACATTTCTTCCTCTCACAGGATATAAGCAGTATCACAAAAAAACACAACTTCACTGTAAATTAAACACTTAAAAATCTTTGAAAAATCTACACTTGGATGTGTTAAACAAACAAAAAAACAAACAAACCTACTTTAGACTGTAGTTTAGGAGACATCCTTTAAATATTTACTTATTCTAACCTGAGACAACTTTCCTTCTATTGGTGGGATAATGAAAATAAATTGCACTTCTCCCAATTATATTATATTTAAATTTTTATGATTATCCTCAGCTTCCAATTCCAACATACGCCTGTTAAAAGTGCCTTACGGAAAAAGAAGTATCAAAAATTTATCAAGAAAAGATGTTTCAAGTCATAAGTGGAATGTTAAAACACAAACCTGCATGAAATGAGTTAGAATTTATTTCACAACACTGAAATAACTAATTTACAAAAAAAAGTCATGACTAATTTTGGAACACAATAAAATTAAATACATCCCTACACTTCAATGTAATATTTTTATATTTATATATAGTAGAAAACAGTTTGGCACTTAGCAGCTTTTATCGGTTGTTGCATCCCATATTATGTGGCAAATTTATTGTATAAAACGTTCCCTAATTTCTGCAGCTATAGTGTCAACAAACTGAATTAAAGATATACGACTTTATAAAATGAACTGACCGAGTCACACAGCCACTGACAACATTGCAGCAGGGACACATTCACTCCCGGACAGTGAACTGTCCCCTTGGAAACACCTGGCACAGACTGGGAAGAATTTTAAACATCAAAAATTTAAAAAAAGAGAGAATTGCTGATTGTCATGGCTTTAATAAGGTATCAGTTCCTACTTTAATGTACCTCAACTACAGCTTCCAAATGCCAAAGTTATGTTCTGTATAAGATATTTTACCAAAGAAAATTCACCTTTCAGCAATCTGTTTTCTCCAAAACTGATTCTAATGGTAAAAAAGCAAGTTTTCTTTCTTTGCAGTGGCCATGGAGCTTTCTTTGATTAAAAGATATCCAGCCCAGCCGGTGTGGCTCAGTGGTTGAGCATCGACCCATGCACCAAGAGGTCGCTGGTTCGATTCCCGGTCAGGACACATGCCCAGGTTGTGGGCTCGATCCCCAGTGGGGGGCATGCAGGAGGCGGCCAATCAATGTTCTCTCTCATCAATGTTTCTATCTCTCTCTCCCTCTCCTTTTCTCTCTCTAAAATCAATAATGAAAAAAAAAAAAAAAAAGATATCCAAAGTATCGCTGGGAAAGTGTGAGGACAACAGCTGACTGGCACACAACACAAAGAAAAAAGGCCGGCTTTGATTTACAGGTTGAATTTGACCGTGCTAACAGAAACGTGTGGCAAACTTGGCTTTGAGCCCTGACAGAGAAGATAAAAACCTCTGCCTTCTTTTACCGAACTGTCTGCCAGAAGGGAGAGTAACTGTGCTACACGTAACACTCTAGGATCCCCACGCTGAGGCTTCTTTAGCAACTCTCTAGCACTGTGTTGAATTCTAATGTGTTGTTTTAAAAAACAACAAGACTCTAACTCTTTTTTCTATTCATGGTGGGAAAAAAAGCAACATTTCATATGCACGTTAATAGCATACAAACATTCCATATAGAAGTTTCCTAAAGAAATTCCTGTTCTCAAATTTACAACCACAGGCTATATTTATACATTAACCTCTAAGACAAAACTCTGCGTCTTAGATCCATATTCTAGGAGAGAAAAATAAAAACTGTAGAAAACAATTAAAAATTAAGAATTCTATATTAAATTGATTAGAAATCTGATATTGCATAAAATTCAAATGATGAAGTAATCAAGCACTTTGAAGTTCCCGATTTCACACTAAGGTGGTATAATCTGAATGGGAAACAAAATATCTTAAAAGATAAATGCTATTAATGAGAGACTTTGCCCCGCAAAGGAAGTGGGGCAAAGGGGCATGGGATTGAGAGATAGGAAAGGAGAAAAAGATTAATCTGCTCTACTATGAAGAGAATGAAATGAAATTGAGGTAGTTTATTCTACCAGCCAAACTTGATCGTAATTTGTTGAAAACTCTTACTAGTGAACGGCATTGAGAAAATTCTCCTACAAAGACTAGATTCTGAACACATGTTCACACTCTAAGACAAGTTTTCAAATCCTAAACAGTAGTAAACAAGACTTTGTGTGCTTTCAGACAGATTTTTAAAAAAAGTTTTGATCCCTTTATATTTTGCCTGGACAGATTTTTTTGTGTGCGTGTGTTGTTGTTTTTTTTAAAGACATAGCTGACCTTTATTATTTGTCTGACTCAGGTCTTTCTTTGATAAAATCTCCTACTCTCTAATATCCTCATATTTATAAAATGGTTCTGATTAACTGAGAAGAAAAAGTGGCACTGCTGAGATCCTTCACAACTCCGAGAGTACTACCCCAGAAATTATGGCATGGCGTACCTTAATCTAAATTAAATAGAAGTTAGCAACTTCCCTTAAATTCACATGAGGGCTGCAACCTGACTCATTAACTTATCGAGTCTTTATGTTACTAAGATAGAATGTCACCAAAGAGAAATTTTATCTTAGTTTCAATTCATCATAATATAGTTTTAAAAAGATTCTTAGCACAGAATACTAGTAGTAAATGGAGACTAGCTGGCAAACAGTCCAATCTAACATTTTAGGCACAATCCTTAATTGGTTGGACAGGGTTAGGCATATTTCCTGCCAAGTGCAGTAGAAGAACAGTCTTGGTATGTCTGGATATGTTGATTTGCATATACGGATTTTTGTTTGTTTGTTTACCAAAGCCAGGTACATAGCAGTCAGATACGAGTTCCCTTCAGGGAAAATGCACCTCAGTATTTTCACTTCAGTATTTTACATTATACAGCTTCTCACTTCCCTCTTCCTTTTGACACCGACTAGCCTCCATTTGTCTACAGACACATCTAACTGGAGACACATCCTCCAGGTAGTTTTTTCAAGTTACATGTTCTCCCAAACAAGAGATGAAGCTCAAGCGTCTAAGCATTATAAAACCACCAGTTACCATACAAAGCCCGGCACGCAGAGCAAGTTTTGGCTGCCATCTCTGTCCCCTCACATAAAGCTACGTTATGGTGCACTTGGTCAGGAGCTCGGCTTGTCCTACTTCCTCTTCAAGGTGAATGAACACGGATACGGAATAAGCCTTGCTGAAGCTGCAGGCGGAAAAGCTTGCAATTTGCAATACGTAAGGCTGCACACCCAGTGCGGCGGAGGTCGGATGGAAGGAGTGGTTTAGTGTGATGCCAGGTTCCTGTGCTCCTTTTAAACTCACGCACGTAGTCGTAATTGGTACCTAAACCACATGAATAAGCATTGGTGAGACAACATGCCTCAGAATCACTAGGAAACAGTCCCAACAAAAATCACCACAACGTTCTTACCTGTGTCAAGATCTCCAATAACATAAATACTGGCTCCTATGGGTACAGCTCCATAAACAAAAGAGGAACTGGCGGGGATGCATAAATTCTGGTCATTAAGATAGATCCACCTGAAAACAAACAAAGGACAAAATTAAGAAAATCAAAGGATGACCACACATCTACGAAGACTACCAGCAACAACAAAACTTGGTGAGCCTCCAACAGTACTAGGCATTGTGCCAGTAAATCTCAACCCTACCCTCCACTTCCATGTAACCACTGATTTGCTTACTTTTTATTTTAATTGACTTTTAAATCCTCACCCGAGGATATGCTTTTATTGATCATAGAGAGAGAGGAAGAGAGAGAAACATCAATGTGAGAGTGAAACATCAACTGGTTGCCTCCCGTACGCACCAGACCTGGGCATGTGCCCTGACTGGGAATCGAACCTTCAACCTTTTGGTGTACGGGACAACGCTCCAACCAACCGAGCCATATTGGCCAGGGCACCAATGATTTACTGAGTCACTAAAGGTATTAGTTTTGCTGGTCCTAGAATGTCATATCCATTGAATCATAAAGAACATGTACATTGCAATCTGTTCCTTTTGCTCAGCACAGTGTTTCTGAGATTCGTCCATGCTGTTGACTTCATTAATAATTTTTTTTTTTTTTATCCTCACCCGAGGACAGTTTTCCATTTTTTGTTCAGATAGAGTGGGAGGGAGAGAGAGAGAGAGAGAGAAAAACATCGATGTGAAAAAGATACATTGAGTGGCTGCCTCCCACAGGGCCCACTAAGGCCAGGGACAAACTGCAACTGAGGTACGTGCCCTTAGTGGGAACCGAACCCGGGTCTCTCTGGACCACAGGCCAACGCTCTAACCGCTGAGCCAAACCGGCCAGGGCAATTTGTTTGTTTTTATTTCCAAGTAGTATTCCATTATATGGACATACCAGATTGTATTTACCTATTCACCTACTTATGCTCATTTGGATAGCATCCAATTTTGGTCATTGTGATGTGCTGTTTTGTGAACTGATGCTATGGACTTGCTTAGTTATATGGTTAAAGGTATATTTCACTTGATTAAAAAATGCCTCTCTGTTTTCCAAAGCGTTGTAGCATTTTGTATTCCGATTAGCAGTATACAAGAATCCCAACTGCTTGGCCATTAGTGCCAGCTCTCGGGACTGAAGTCTTTTCCATTTTATTTGTATTAGTGGTATGCACTGCTCTGAAGACTAATGATGGTGAACATCTCTGCATGTGCTTAATGGCCATTTTATATATCGTCTTTGTGAAATGTCTGTCCAAAGATATGCTAAAATTGGGTTTTCTGTCTTCTTACTGACTTTAAGATTCTTTGTTTGTGAACACAAGTCCTTTGTTAGATACATGTATCACCAAAATTTTTCTCAGCATGTAGATTGTCTTCATTTTCTTAATGGAGCCTTTTGAAGAACAGAAGTTTTCCATTTTGATGTATTACAATTCATCCTTTTTTCCTTTTTTAGTTCATGCTTTCTGTGTCCTTCTAGGAAATCTCTGCCTACTCCAAGTTGCAAAGATTTCCTCCTATTCTCTTTACTGGACATTTCATGGTGTCAGCTTTTACATTTAGGTCTTGTGATACATTTCAAGTTAATGTCTGTGTATGGTATGACGTAAAAAAGAGTCAAGGTTCTTTTTTTTTCATACACATATCTAGTTGTTCTAGCATTATTTGCTGAAAAGATATTTCTTTCCTCACTAAATGGCCTTGGCAATTCTGTTGAAAATCAATTTAATAACCACTAAAAAGATCTAGGGCTCCATGAAGTGGTTGATTCCACAGCTGAGACAGAAAATACAAGATGAGCCTGGAGCATCCTGTGCTGCCAGAGAGGAAGTACTTAGACAAGGATGGGGTGTGTCACAGGGACACAGGAACTGATGTGAAGTAGCTCCCAATGACCACAGCTGGAACAAATGAGCAACAAAATAATGACAGCATTAGATTTATCGCCCAGAATATAATAAACATCCATGAGTCCATATTGATGTAAATAATTGAATACATTAAAAAACAGGGAGAAGGAACAGGTCTTCTTTACAGAATTCCAGTTACTAAATGTAGAAGGAATGAGGGAAACAGAAAAACCACCATCAGCAAACACCACAGTAGTAACTACTGCAGGCCACTCCACCGATGGGTGCTAAATTAGTGGTGAGAGTTTGAGGAAAAACCGTATGGGTGTATATTCTTAAATTCTCTCTTCCAAGATATTCATTACAAAGGGAAATACAGTAACTTTACAGTGGAGAAACCTAACAGACACCACTTGAACCGGGTAATCAAGGTTAGCATCAGCAGTAATAGGACCTAATGACATCACGTTCCACCTGACTTGGTGCAGAGGAGGACGCAGCCCACTGCTGTGGCATTCCTGCCCAAAATGCTTACCCACAAGAAATCATGACACAAACTCAAATGGAGAGACATCTATTTAAAAAAAACACCTGACCAATAATTTTCAACAGTTTCATGAAAGACCAGGAAGACTGGGAAACTGTCAAACATGAAAGGAGACTCAAGAAACGCAACCACGCCCTGGCCGGTTTGGCTCAGCGGTTAGAGCGCCCACCTGTGGTCCAGAGAGACCCGGGTTCGGTTCCCGCTAAGGGCATGTACCTTGGTTGCAGTTTGTCCCCGGCCCTGGTTGGTCGTGCGGGTGGCAGCCACTCGATGTGTCCCTTTCACATCGATGTTTCTCACTCTCTCTCTTCCTCTCTCTCCCTCCCACTCTGTCTGTACAAAAAATGGAAAGATGTCCTCGGGTGAGGATAAAAAAAAAAAAAAAAGAAACGCAACCACAAATGTAGCGTCAGATCCTGGAGCAGAGGGAAAAAAGACGGCAGTAGACAAGCTGGTCAAATTCAAATAAAGTCTGCAGTTTACTTAATAATATTGTACCAATGTTAATATCCTGGTTTTGATATCTGAACTATGGTTATAAAAGATGTTAACATTAGGAAAAGATGGGTGAATGGCTTATGGGAACTTTATATTTGCAACTTATCTATAATTCTGAAATTATTGCAAAATAAAAGTTTGGATTTTTTGTTTTGCTTAAATAACAAAAAACAAAAACTACTAGATTGCTGAATAATGATGAACACTCAAGGTAATCTGACTAATTTTCCGTTAATAGCTAAAGGTACAACAGGTCATAGCAGACCTCAGTCAGACCTTGGGAATGTATCTAAACCATTGAGAACTACCAAAGTCCAGGCCAACACCCATTGTTGGAGCATACAGGTATACGGGCATTGCTCCTGGTGTCTCCAACTCTATGCTACAAAGTGTCCAATAAGCCAGAGGCTTAGGTTGAGAGCATCTCTATGCTAAATACAAATGCACTTTTTTTTTCCCCCAAGAGGGAACCGAACCCGGGACTCTGGTCCACAGGCCAATGTTCCAACCACTGAGCCAAACCGGCCAGGGCTATGCAAAATACAAATGCAAAATTATCTAAGATCAGCACTTTTATTTCAATGAATACTCTTCCCAGATTGTTATAAAGAAGCAGTTTTCATATTTTGCATTTCAAGAAACACAGAAGCAAAATGATTTGTCCAAGATACTATAACAAGTCAGAAGCACAGCTAATATAAGCTACCATATTTCTAAATACCTTCACCTACCTTTGATTCATCTAAACCTGAATGTTGACTGGTATCCAGTAGTTTGCTGGGACTGGGAATACATTTTGGTTTCTCCCTCCAGAATGCCTCTAACTAATAAGAAAAGTGAAAAAATCTGAGAGCTTTCACTTCAAAGTAAAAACAGGGGCCTGAACAGGTCTTTGAAAGAAAAAGTTTGGTAATGTCAAAGTATAGTAACTAACTGGCTTATTCACGTCATATGTCTTCAGGGCTAATCATAAATGTCTAAACCCCAACATTTAATTTTTTCCCGGGCTCTGAATCAAACAAGCTAAAGAGAATCCCTATGCCTTGTCTACAGCTGAAACATACCTGCAGGACCAACCCCTGGACATACACACAACTCTTCCGAGCAAACCCAGTAGAAGACCATGTGTGTGCTTGCTTAGCAGGTTAACAGTCACTTTTAAATTAAGACATATATGACTACATTATCTACTGAAAAAGCTCATCAGATTATAACGATACTTTGGAACAATTTTGTAGCATTGGGAATTTAACAGAATCCCTCCCTGCAATAATTAATGCTGAATGAAACTGGCCTATGTGGATGATCAACCAAATTTGGTGCCAAACAGATCAATGAGTCAGATTTCCTGGGTTTCAGAAAAGTCATCCTAGGTGATCTATTTCATATAAAGCTGAGGCTCCAAATTAAATACAACTAACATGAACACTTAATTGGAGCATGTACTTGCTGTTGCTTATAAAACAGGTCTAAAAGGCATATGGCTTTCCATTTCCTTTTCTATCCCATATCACCTCACTGACCTTGGACAATTTAACTAACCCAGTCTCTGCTCCATCTTCTGTAAAGTAGGGATTCCAGTCACCATCATCAACCTCAAGTGAGTGTTGTGAGAATGAAATGAAATTGCCAACATAAAGCACTTTGTATAGTGTCTAGTACATAGCAGGCATCATTAAGTAATGGACAAGGCACTGTTATACCTTTACTTACATTTTGTGTGTTTTTTTTTTTTAAATCCTCACCCGAGGATATTTTTCTATTTGTTGTCAGAGTGGTAGGGAGGGAGAGAGGGAGAGGAGAGAGAGATAGAGAAACATCGAGACATATCAAACGGCTGCCTCCCGCACACGACCCCGACCAGAGCTGGGGACTGAACCACAACCGAGATATGTGCCCTTGACCGGAATTGAACCAGCAACTCATCGCTCTGCAGGCTGACGCTCTAACCACTGAGCAAAACTGGCCAGGGTGACTTATAAGGCTTTTAAACATAGTCTTATTAGAACAGGAGGCTATAATGATGAGTCCACTGGTAACTCAGAATTAAGAATACTCCCTGAGACAACAGCACTTGAATACGCTGATCCTCCTGCAAGGAACAGCTACAGGCTCTGGACAAAATAAACTACTAACTGCCTGAGAGCTCTGGCGTGTGAGTGAAGCAGACAGATTTGGGGAAGATGTTCAAAGCTGAACACGCATCCCATGTACGAGTGTTTCCATTCTTTGACAGTTTTACCCGAGGTCAGTGGCTTGGAGCAGCTGAAACCCCAAGAGAAAACCCTGTCATCTTTCTGGCAACTGGAATCAGAGTAGACACAGTATTGTGGAGCAACCAGAATTATCAAAGTGTATAGGGGTCTCAGAAAGATAAGAGACCCCCTAAATTTATGTGTATTCACTTATCTTAAGTCTTTGACTGACCCCAGGACCACGAATGCTTATAATTAAGGCTTGAAGGACTGAACTGTGAGCTGCTGCCCACTGTGGGTGTGACACACTGCAGTCTGAGTCTAACCAAGTCCCCTGTCCGCTAAAGCTCTCGGAGCAGCACTCTAAAGCAATTTAAGAAACCTCAGGGCCTTGACAACGTTCCCTTCACAACGTCCAGGATGCAATCCAAAATTACTCAACAAAAGAAGAGCCAGAAAAATAAGAACTCATTCTCAAGGGACTAAACAATCAACAGACGCCAACTCTGCGATGACTCAGATGCTGGGATTATCTATCAGGCAGGGACTTGAACGAAGCTACCATAACTATGGCTCAGTAAGAAAGGAAATGTGCTTATGATGAAAACACAGGAGGTTTCAGCAGAGCAATAAAAAAATTAAAAACTCTACCTGAAGAAGCTTGGAAAGGAGAAGCAAAATAAACCCTAAGTAAAAGGAAAGAAACAACTAGACAGAAGCAGAAACCAATGAAACAGAAAACACACAACGGAGAAAATGAACATCAACAGCTGGTTCCTTGGAAAGATAAATGCAGTGGTAGGCTTTGTCAACAGAGGGTGCTGGAGGGACTGCCGGGCCTGTCCTTTTGCTAAATATGATTAGCTTTATTTGGTAAGCATGGGGAAATGGGAAGAATCTTCAGCAGGAGAATGAGAGACCATTAATCTGTCAGAAGCACAACAGGAGAAATGTATCAGAGAAGACTGGTTAGAAAGCTACTGACATTGCTCGGATGAAGAGGACGCGCTGGAGTGGGAGCAGGGAAATAAAGGTGGGTGACTGTAAAAAACATTAGAGTTTAAAAAAGAAGATACGCCTTAATAGCTGATAAGAGGTAAAGCACGAGAGAGAACCAAAGATGACCTTTGGAGCAGGCACAAATGGGAGGACGTGGCATTAATAAAAGAACAGGGGCACAAGGAACAGGAACAGACACTGTCATTCTGACACAGTAACTTGTTCCTATGACTTGGTTTTACTTATGGCAATTTCTTTGCTCTCTTTCAATTTGTTTTTAGTCAGAAACACAGAAAATAATAAGATATGGCATTTTTCCAGGAAAGTTTTAACCTAAAAATAGGGAACAAAGGCAGGAAAGACAAGCGATTACTTAAAAACAATAAACGGTCTCCAATTTTATACAGACTGTTCATCTGGCAATGGTTTCCAGAGAATGCAAATATACATACTTGAAAACATCTGATCTTTTAAAATGTTATTTTCTTTCTACAGATATCTATGGAAAGCCTGTATTTAAGGCTCTATTGTACGAGGGATGAGGTTGGCTCTGGGCCCAGGATGCCCGAGTTCAAATGCAAGCTCTACCACTTTCCACCCTGTGTGTCTCTGGGCACATACTCAATCTCTCTGTGTTCTGGTTCCTCATAAGTGCAATAGGAATAAAAGGAGTACCTCTATCGAAGAGGGTTGTTGTGAAGATTAAATGAGGTAAGTGAGTTAATATATGGTGCTTAGTGGTGCAAATGTGTTTAGTGTTATCTAAACAAGTTAAGACTCCTATACAGCTGAACCTTGAATAACACAGGAGTTAGGGGCACAGACCCCACCCCCACTCCCGCATAGTAGAAAATCTGCATAACTTTTAACTCCCCACAAACTTAACTATTAATAGCCTTCTGTTGACCATAAGCCTTACTAATAACATAAACCATCAATGAACACATATTTTGTATGTTATATATATTATATGCTGTATTCTAACAATAAAGTAAATTAGAGAAGAAAATGTTATTAAGAAAATCATAAGGAAGAGAAAATACATTTGCTGTATTTTATATATTTATTGGAAAAAAATCCACATTTAAATGGACCCACGCAGTTCAAACCCGTATTGTTCAAGGGTGAACTGTATACTGTACTGACAAGAGGAATTTAGCTTTCTTCACTCCCTTTATGAATTAACACTGAAGAGCTTAGAAATAAGAAAACTAAAGATACAAAAATTTTATTTGAAAGTGCTTTTAAATAGCAAGGAAGGAGCAATTCTCTTATGCTTAACAATTATGAGCTGAAGCTGAAAGCAATACACTGACATTTAAAGATTATCAACCATTTATATGAAACAACCATTTATATAATAGAAATATAAAGGAAACTTTACAGTCAAAATTTAAGTCCTATACAATCAAAACAGGGACAGAAAACGGTAAAATTGCAAGCAACCTTGATTTCTCCAGTGAGTTACAGCGCTCTAGTTTATACTGTCTAAACAGTAATTCAGCCATTACGAGAAAAGCCTGTATCAATACTTTATCAGAAACCAAACACACTGACCACTGCTCGTTAATGAAGTTGGGCAGACAGTCTCGAGATTCATTTCGGCAGGAAATTAATATACTACTTCATACCTTGGGTAGTCAGCCCTCATAGTAACATGTTAAGGAAGAGAAATCTAGAAAAGTCTCAAATTTTGCCTCCCAAGTCCCACCATAGTAAACATTGCTCTCACACTTTGTCTAATAAACCTTCCTAAGATAGTTTACCCATGTAATTGAGGGGAAAAAAGACTACACAAATATCCTAAATTTAAAATACATTATAAGTTAGGTAACATTTATATATCTTTCTAAAGTCTTAGTAACTGCTTACTGCTTGCCCTGATCTAAAATATAAAATAATATGAGGCCTAGCTGGTGTGGTTCAGTTGGTTCAGTGTCATCATCCTTTGCACCAAAAGGTTGCTAGTTCAATTCCCAGTCGGGGCACATGCCCGGGTTGCGGGCTTGATCCCCAGTAGGGAGCATGCAGGGGGCAGCGATAGACGTTCCACTATCACATTGCTGTTTCTCTCTCTCCCGCTTCCTCTCTCTCTAAAAATCAATAAAAAAACTTTAAAAAAAAAAAGAATTAAACATTATATTATGGCACCCCCTTCTGGTAATATGATTGAAACACTATCACAAGATTAATATTCCATGGCAGCTTCCCTGTAGGATTTGAACATATTACTGCAATAAAAATACTGTTAAGTCGTTATAACAATAAAACTTGTGCGAGAAGGGAAGGGGGGAGGTTGGGAAGGTTACCTAGTCTACAAGACATAAATGGCAGCCTGGCAGAAGTAGTCTCCGATACCACTCTTCACCAACTTAATTAGTATTTTACTGAGTGTCAGTTATGAAGCTGAAGCTAGGATTTAAAGTTGGCATGGTTGGGCCCTGGCCAGTTTGGCTCAGTGAGAACATCGGCTCGCGGACCAGAGTCGCGGGTTCAATGCTAGTCAAGGGCATGTACCTTGGTTGCAGTTTGGTCCTTGGCCCTGGTCAGGTCATATGGGAAGCAACCAGTCGATGTGTCTCTCTCACATCGATGTTTCTCTCTTTCTCCCTCTCTCTCCCCCTCCCTCCCACTCTATCTGAAGATAAATAGAAAAAATATTCTTAGGTGAGGATTAAAAAATAAAATAATAAAGTTGGCATGGTTGGACCTTGCCCTGATAGAGCTTACAGTTAACAATACAGTCCAAGAGGGAGACATGTACAGTGTTATGAGACCACAGACTGAGGAACCCAATCAGATCTCTAGGGAATGATAATTAAGAGTTTTGGAAGAGGCCAAATTAACCGGATAAATGTGGGAAGGGAAATTTTAAGCAAAAGGAATAGTATAAAAACATAGAGCTGAGATAATCATGACATATTTAGGGGAAAATGTCACTCAGTGTGACTCAAGTAAAGCATCTGGGTTGAATAGTAGCAGAATGAGCAGACAAAGGCCATGTCACAAAACGCCAAATATGTTAAGTTAAGGAGTGTAAACTTCCCTAAAAGCTAGGGAAAGCCAGTAAATGATTTTAAGTGACAAAGTATTAAGGTCTGAACTACATTTTAGAAACACTCTTCTATGATTTTCCTGTAAGTTACCAAAACTTCTGAAGTCACTGAATCAATATCTAGTATGTATCAGACATAGTTCCTAAATAGATGAGATAATTCTGTTACCACTGTAATTAGCTAGTTATTAATATTAATAATAGGAAAGGAGCAAAGGGAAGGCCAGGCATTATAAGCATGGTCATCTGGGCAGCTTCACCAGGAAGTTACAACTTGACACTCCTCAGGGAACCACTGGTCCATTTCCTGCAGATCACTGGGGGAAAGGACTGGACAAAGGGGGAAGATGGACGCAAGTCAGGGTGACAGGAAAAAATGCTTGCCTGTCAGTCTAACCTGAGAACAAGGATCATTGGCTAGAGGGGTGAAGCCAATGTAAGCCCATGAAAGTTTGGGAATATGTAATTTCTAGACAGAGGAATTCTCTCTCTCTCCTTACTCTGGCTTTGCTCCTGCTTCCATGCACTTGCCCATGTTCCCTCCATAGCTATGTGGCTCCCACGTGCAATGGACTGCAGCAGGGAACACAAGCTAAACTAGCCTCATGCTGGACTGAACTGTGCAAAAATGGAATGAAGGCTCTAAGCAGTGGCTTTAATCCTAACCCTGATGAAGACACAGCTGGCCTTTTTCCTTGGGACAGAGGCAGGTGGCACCTTGAAAACTCAGGGGTTTAATTCCATGCAAATAAATATCACTCATTCTCCCACGCGGGTCTCAGAAAATTCCTTTTCTCGTGACATCACAAGAAGCCCACTTCCACCAGCAACAGGTGGGGACATGTAGGACACCCCACTGATAACAATTCATCGAAGTTACTTGAAAACCAAATAAAACTAAAACAAAAAAAAGGAAAAAGTTGCAGAAGCTACATGAAACCATTCATAATTACCTTTTAAATTCATCATGGTAGAATTCAGACTTGCAAGTTACCATCTCGCTACCCTGGATGTCCTCGCGACTTCTGACTCCCCCAAATACATACAGTTCCATGGCAACTCCACAGGCAACTGCTCCAAATCTGAAAGGCCACACAGAGTTGATTAGGCATTTGACAACTCATGGCCTGATTCCCTCATTCCTCTTCTGCTTGTTTTAACTCTGCAACATTCAATGTTTGGTGACTATGTAGATCTTTCTCTTTCAGAAAATGGATTATTCATTTAATTTTATATAAACTAAATGCCAAGTCGAATAGAAGGTTTGTTTAAAAGAAAGGAAGAGCAAAAGCCAGGTTCCGGGGATCTATAAAGTCCATATGCAGTTCTTTCACCTTCTCTCTTTCAGCGGACATATAGCAGTCCATTGCTGGGTCCTTGGGTCATAACATTCCACAGATTCAAAAAGTTTTCCATATGACCCTCCACCCATGGCATAGATTTTCTTTTTCATAGCTGCATAGCAGCCAATCTGAAAGAAAAAAGCAAAAGTGGGGAGGCAACATTTATTATTAAAGTTAGATAGATTAATATTCACTTACCTAAGAGCACTGTAAGATATTTGGAAAATAATTTGATTTCTTTCTTTTTTTTTTTTAAATATTTTTATTGCTAGTTTTTAGACAGAAGAGAGAGAGAGATAGAAACACTGATGTGCGAGAAACATCGATCAGCTGCCTCCTGCACACCCCCGAATGGGGATCGAGCCCACAACCCCAGCATGTGCCCTGACTGGGAATTGAACCAGGACCTCTCGGTCCATGGGATGACGCTCAATCAACCAAGCCACACCGGCCAGGCAAGAATTTGATTTCTAATAGTAAAACTATGGTGCTTTCCAATATTACAACACAGAATTTTAAAAATGAGAAGAACAAGGTAATAACATACTGTTAATCCTTAGAAAAGGATTAACTCCATATAATACTATTTCACTAAGTAAGGTAAGTAAACAACCTTCTCATTAAAGTAGCTTTCCAGTCTCTCTATCCTTTTACCACTATTGGAAGATTCCAAGATTTAGATTACATGGAGCAAGATGTCACTCAATTTCTGCCCCAAATTAGTGGAAGGGGCACAGACAGTCAGAGAACATATTATGAGTATATCCCAGTACAAAGATATGCCTACCTACGGCACTGGACAGAGGTTGGCTTTGACGAACTCCCTGCCTACACCAGGGAGTATAAAGACAGATGCTCTCTATAGAGTTAACGTGACCATTTTTTTTATTCTACCCAGCGAGCAATGGTAGTTCTTTACCTGTAAATTACTGTTTCTCCTCAGTCTTGCATGATGATTAAGAACACAGGTTTAGAAGATGTGGCTGCTTCCTAGGGTAAGGCCCTCACAAAACATTTATCAAGTGCAGGCCTTGGACAGAGCAGTGCCGCGCACAGTCCGTCGTCAGGATACACGCTCACACACTCTGTTTCCTACCTTGGCATATGGCTGATGATAACAAGGGCAAGCTACCAATAAAGGCAGAATTCTATAACAGTAATTCTTTTAACACTATCAAATGTATTAAAAGGCATATATAGGAAATGAAGAAACATTAACTTTAAAATCCAGTTTGTAGTCACGAGATATAGCTCTCACCTTTCTAACCATGGTCAAATCAGGTTGCTTTGTCCAGGTTTTAGAATAAATATCATAACACTCCATGGAAATTAGCTCTTTATCACCATCCTCTCCTCCTAAAATGTACAGCATTCCATCTATCTCCACAATTCCAAAATTATGTCTTGCCTGAAAGACATCAAAGATCTTTGTATACAAAAGGCCAACTATCATATTGAAAGCCAATATTTATGCATTTAATAAAAATTACAGATATCGTTATATTCCAGAGTTCCAGCAAAGAAGCCATGCTCGAGACCCTCTCCCTCAAACAGTTCTGCCTTCCCTAGCAGCTCACTCGTCTATCATGACAGACAGAGACCAAGCCCAGAAGTTTCTCAGAACTAAGGAATTAATTACCTGCATGGTAAATTCATGGTCAGAATCAGTACTTTTCACTCACAACAAGAAAAAGAACTATTAGCTGCTGGTTCAATAAGATGCTCTGTGTTCAGCAATGTGCTGTAATTAAGTGTTTCCAAGTTGATGTGTGAAAGACAAGAACCCCAGCAACAGGACTGCCTGTGGCAGAGGCAGTGGGGAGAACAGGTTTGTGCTAAGGCTGTTGGCAATGACAGAACCCTGAGGGATTTCACGTTCATTTGTCAATATTTTCTTAAGTGTCCCTTATGTGCCCAGCACTATTCTAGCACTGAAGATAGAGTGCCGAACAGACAAAAGCCCCTGCCATCAAGAGATGGCGCGAACACTTTAAGCCTTGGCAGTACGTGAGAAGGTGCTACCCGTGCTACATGGTAGGAAGGGAAAGAAAGCAGGGTAGGGGAGACGAGAGATGAGGGGCCGGAGGGAGGGCTGCCCTGACAAGGTGCTATATGGGCAATCAGAACGGAAGCAAGAAGCATGCCACATGGGGATGTGGCAAAGGTCCGGAAGCAGGAGCATTTCTAGAAGGTCTGAGAGACTGTGAGGAGCCCAGACTGAGCGAGGGAAGGCACAGAGAGGAGAACTGGGAGGGCAGGTGTTATTGTGGAAGGCAGGGGCCTGGCAGGGTTGCTACAGTTTCTTCTTATACTCAAATACAAAACAAAGTGCCAATAGAAAAAAAAAATGTAAAAGAAAAAAAAAGAACCATCACCAAAAAATTTAAATGTAAAAAAGAAAAAAAAAAAAAAAAAAAGGAAACGTGCTGAATAAATAAAAAGCAATGTTTTACCTCGTTCATTGGTGGCAATGCAGTCCATGAATTCGCATCGGGGTCATACTTTTCTCCGGAGCTCAGGGTCTGCTTATTTTCATCTTGGCCCCCAAATACAAACAAAAATCCTTCTGCAAAAGTCAAAGGAGACACACAAGAAAGTTGAAACTTAAGTCTTCAATATCCATCTCCTGTAGAATATGAATGCCATAGTCGTAGAGAGAGTATGTGGAAAAACCTTCGCTGATAATAATGGATTTGAGATCTTTATCAGATTTCATTTTTTCCTTGGCAAGAGAGACAAGTCTGAGTCACTTTGACCATTTTGCTTCACTCAGCATGTCTGAGTGGATTCCCTGTACCCTAAAGCATAAAAGAAAGACTGGCACCACCCACTCAAGTCACCTCTGGGTTATCTCAGTTCATCTACTCTGGGAAACTATTTAATCTTTCTTTTTTTAATGGCTTTGAGGGGATGAAAAAGACAAATCTAAACACATTTTCATAGGAAATGTGTCTTCTGGCAGGAGAGCCTCTCCAAAGTTCTAACCCTCAGGATGAAGGCTAAGCAGAACTAGAAGCCAGATTTAAATCTCCTTGCTTGTCTAAGAAATCTCAAAATTTGAATTTGATTTATCGTAATTTTAATTAATAGTGTTTTCAGGCAACTGGCAGAAACAAACGTGGAATTTCTACTGAAGAAAGTACCTTTATTTAAGCTTTAGAGTCTAACATAAGATTTTAAAGCATCAAATTATTCCTACAAATTAGTATTTTTTAATCCTCACCTGAGGATATGTTTTTATTGATTTTAGAGAAGAAGGGGAGGGAAAAGAGAAGCATCAGTGTGAGAGAGAAACATCAATTAGTTGCCTCCTGTATGCACCTCAGCTGGGGATTAAACCTGCAACCTGGGTATGTACCCTAACCAGGAATCGGACCTGCAACCTTTTTGTTTATGAGACAATGCTCCAACTGACTGGGCCACACTGACCAGGGCCCTACAAATAATTTTTAATAAAATAATCAGCACCTAACTCAAAGGTACTCAGGCATACAAACAAGACCCTATGAAGAAGAACCAGCAGAAGCAGACAACAGGAAGTAGTCTTGCAAAGAATGCAAATTTCAAATATTGGAATAATCAAAAGACTTAACAATGCTTACCATGTTTAAGAAATAAACGACAAATTTGAAGATAACTCTTGGAATTGGGACTATAGAAGTGACTGGCAGATTTGAAAACGATTTAAAGAGAATTTCTAGAAATAAAAATAAAAAAACAGATAAAATTAAAAATTCAATGGATGAATTTAATGGCAGATCCATCATGGTTAAAGATAGAATTTACTGAGTGGAAGATAAATCAAAAGAAATCATAAAGAAGGCAACACAGTGTGGCAAAATGACAGAAAACAAAGTGATGGTAGGAGGCAGAGGATGGGGAAAAAAGGTCTAGCCATGCTTAATGTGACTTGCAAAAGTAAGTGGAGAAAGGAGAACAGGGCAGAGGCAATATTTTGAAGACATAATAAATAAGAATTCTCCAGATCTGATAAAAGGCCAAGTCACAGAGTCAAGATGACCAACAATTCCAAAATATGGTAACATTGTAGTGAAATGGCAGAAAACAAAGACAAAGAAAAAATCTCAACTACATTGCTGAGAAAAGACAGATTGTTAGATTGACAACTGATTTAACAACAATAAAAGCCAAAATTCAGTGAAAAGGTATCTTCAATGTTCTGAAAAAATAAATAGCAACCTAAAATTCTATGCCCAGCAAAAATATCCTTTAAAAATGAAGACAAAGTAATGACATTTTCAGACAAATAAATCTGAAGAGTTTGCTACCAAGAGAACCACATTAAAGGAAATTCAAAGGGATGGACTTCAGAAAAGAGGAAAAGGATCCTAGATGGAAGGTCTGAGGAACAAGGAAGGAAAAACAAAGAAAGTGGTAAATACGTGAGTAAGCCTACACTACCCACCTACAGATACACACACAAAACATAGATTAATAAAACATGTACATATGTAAATATTGTATTTATAAATAATCATGCATTTTAATACTATTAAACTGGAAAACATGAAAAATAGAGTATAAAAGTACTAACTTTAGGCTTTGATAACAGGCTACGGTTTTCTGAGGAAACCTTCAAAAAATATACATGAAGAATATAAATTCTACGTTGGTATACAGGGAAAAAATGAAGAACAAAAAGGTCAATCAATTTAAAAAATGCAAGGCAAGAAAAAATGCAGAACAGGCTGGGCAAATAGGAACTACTCAATTTCACAACTTAGGTCCATACAACTGGACACAATTCCTCTCCTCATAGTTAAACGTTTCTGAAATGCCAACCCCTCTAGGAAATCTCTGAAAATTAGTGACATAGGAACTATTTTTGGTAGATGTACATGTGAGAAAATTCTGAATATGTTTATATATTATGGGAAAAAAATTTAAGGAAGCAAATTCTGAAAAGGCAGAATCAGAAATCAGCCCCACATACTGTTGACTATACCACACCATCCAGCTGTTTATTATTGACAATAATTTCAGTAATTCTGGCATCCAGAAAATGATTCCATTTCTATACTATAGTATAGATTTAGCCATTTCTGTAATAGGATGTGGTGTGGTATAGCTTTAAAAAATTTTAAGGTAATGTTAGTGGGCAAGGAGAGACTATATATAATAAGGATCCCAGGAAGACTGAAGTGAAAATTAGAATGAAGTGAAACGGTACTAGTGGGGTGAACCCAAAAGGCAGAACCCAAAAGAGATCTTACCAACAGTGGTAAGGCAGCGAGGACAACCTTTTCTATCATTACCTTGTGTAAGAGCTTTGAATAACATGGAGCTATTTTCAAACTTGTAAAGGTCAACTAAAACATACGTTCTGTGATAAAATAACTTTAAGCCATTGCTAAAGTAATATTTTCTAAAGTCTCATATGAAATGCCTGCTTTTACATGACAACTTTCATTTTAGACAGTTACATATTGTGCTTCTAAATTGAAATTCAAAGATGATGGGGCTATCATAGCTCAAAGAAATTCTGTGTTCCAGGTGTGGTCACACAGCTTATTGCTCTTCTATTAGTTAGGTCATCGAGTAAAATACTGAAGTCTGAAAAATAGTTATGTATTAATAATCTGGGGACAATACAGACTGACAGAAGAGAAGACACTTTTCTTACCACAGCCTTGAAAGCTAAAGCTCCACTGAAAATGTCATCATTGAGAGAGAATAAAATTGTCTCTTTAAAACGCTGAGTCATTTTGTACAACCCTGAAATTACACATTATTTGATCTTGTATTTAAGTAAAATTTGCCACAGAACAGTACCTGCTGAGAGCACTCCATGGTTAATTCTTGGCATGCTTAAAGGGGCTAGTTCAATCCAAAGCTGCCTATTAGGGTCATAAAGAGGGCACATACAGCGCATTGCTGCTGTTGGTTTCCGTGAACTAAAAAGAGAAATAGATCAGCAGTTAATATGTTTTATGTAGTTTTGCTATAATAACTATAACTAGTTTTATTGCTCTAAAAAATGTTCAAACCATTTTTTAAAAATGTACTGCTATCATGCTTTAGATACTGAAAAATACTATGAATTCTTGTTCACACAGAAATCTCTCTTCCCTTATACCACTTTCAAACAACACACACCCATACTTACACTCTTTCTTCTCCACCAACAGTCACAATGCATTCAGAGTACCCCCGGGGTTTGAAATTGGCTAGCATTGCCTCTCCTTGCTGTGGCTGGCTCAGTGGTATGTTGCTGCACTCTTTGACAATTTCTCGTACTAATGGTTCATTCAGCATCTGTTCCCGTAAGTAGCTGGAGTCTAACCCTGAAACCCACAGTGCTGACATAACATCCTTCATGTGGACCTGCAGAAGAGGGTAGCAAGGAATAGGGGGAAAAGTGGAGAATGCAACACATAGCTTTTAGATTATACATTTCCCAACTCATTGAAAACTAAAATTGTTGATAGATTATCAAGGGGCAAGTTATAAGTGCCAGTACTGCTTGAATACGCTTACTGGCCCCTTTCCTTTCTACGTCTTGGGCTACATGGCCAGGGCTACATGGGCTTTTAAAACAACAACCGTGTCCTGGCCAGTTTGGCTCAGTGGTTAGAGCATCGGCCTGTGGTCCAGAGAGACCCAGGTTCGGTTCCCACTAAGGGCACGTACCTCGGTTGCAGTTTGTCCCTGGCCCTGGTTGGGTCATGCAGGAGGCAGCCACTCGATGTGTCCCTTTCACGTCGATGATTTTCTCTCTCTCTCTCTTCCTCTATCCCTCGCACTCTATCTGAACAAAAAATGGAAAAATGTCCTCGGGTGAGGATTTAAAAAAAAAGAAAGAAAGAAATATAACAACGACGGCTTTAATGATCCTGTGGGAAGATGTTTTACAGATAACTTTTTTTTGCAAGTCTTTCATGTTGACGGAGAAAGATAAGGCATCAATAATTTGGATTAAAAATAACTAAATCAATGAAATAAGTAAAAAAGGCAAAGTCAGACCATGTTATAAACTACAGGTACCTTTCTCATTTCTGTATCATGTGCTATCCATCGAATTACTGCCTCAAATACATATCTTTCATTGCCAACATTTAACTTCTCAAGAGAAATCACTTCCTTAAGCTTCTGAGGACTCAGCTCTAGGAATTCTTCCGTGCTGCTGACGTCTCGGAAGTGGGTCTCCAGGTACTCTGTGGCAAGGTAATGCACATGGTGCAGGCAGTAGTGGAGTGCGAAGTCGCGGATCCCGATGCAGTTCTCAGCAGCAATGCAGCCTTCTAGAAACTCGCAGCACAGAGTTTTCAGATCTGTCAGCAGGAGCAGGTCCGCTGCCTGCACAACATCTTGGATGGTATCTTCATTTAGGCGAATCTGTAAGCATATTATAAATATTTTATATTTGAATGTATATATTTAAAACCCAAACCACAGCCCTGGCCGGTTTGGTTCAGCGGTTAGAGCGTCGGCCTGCGGTCCTGAGAGACCTGGGTTCGGTTCCCGCTAAGGGCGCGTACCTCGCTTGCAGTTTGTCCCCGGCCCTGGTCGGTTGTGCAGGTGGCAGCCACTCGATGTGTCCCTTTCACATCGATGTTTCTCTCTCTCTCTCTGTTCCTCTCTCTCCCTCCCACTCTACCTGAACAAAAAATGGAAAAATGTCCTCGGGTGAGGATAAAAACAAAACAAAACAACAAAAAAACCCAAACCACAAATCTATTAGGCTGAACCACATGAAAGCTCCATTTTCATAAGTGAAAGATGATCAAACTATGGCAATTTCAAATAATTTAAGACAGTACTTTTCCCCAAGAAGCCTGAGGGCCCGAGGAACCTTTGAACAACATAAGCAGTGCGTGGCTGGTTACTTTTCCTACGTGCTCCTTGCTTCACCAATGTTGACTACCAAAAACCCTTCAAGGTGAACTGTCCAAATGTTCGATTCTATACTCAATTGAGAGAAAAACCTTAAATGACTGAAATGCTCAGGAAATTGAAAGTTCTGTATTCTATGGTAAACTGAGGGTGATTTATTTCATTTTAAAAAATATTTTTATTGATTTTTAGAGAGAGAGAGAAACATCAATGTGAGAGTAGAACACTGATCAGTAGCTTCCTACAAGCCCCCTGTGGGGGGTTGAGCCTACAACCTGGGCATGTGCCCTGACCAGGAATCAAACTGGCAACCCCTTGGTGCACAGGATGATGCCCAACCCACCGAGCCACACTGGCCAGGGATGAAGGTGATTTCTTTAAAAAGTAGCACCAGAACTGTGGAAATGTTCGCCTCTAATACATTAAGTTCATTCTTTTGCCAAATGGTATGCCAAACTGAATGCACGCGCCTTGAAGAAAGGGGATCTACAGTGCCTCAAGCCTCATCTGAATACCAAACTTTGCACTCGGCTTGGGGCAACAGATACAATTTGGTTGCAAAGCTACTTTCTGGACAGAATCTCTAATATAAGACTTTAAAAATAAGTTTGAACATATACTATTCCTCAGTTTTCTTCAGTTTTCTGATGCTTCTTCCTCCACCCACTTGACAGTTTTGCTATTAAACAGTAAGGCAATGTAAAGAAACAGGTCCCTAAATCACTGTTTGCCATGACCACAAGCGGTCCAGACTCTCTTAAGAATGGTATTCATCCTCCATTCGGAATGTGAAGGAGAGGTTTCAGAGTAGAGAACAGCAAGAAACATTTCAGTATATTTTACACACTGTGTACCTCAGATACCAAAAAAATTTATAGCTACCAATCACTTTTAAAAATGAGCAACAAAAGTAGAAAGCAGTGTTTGGAATAAGCTATAGGTATGGAGAGATTTCCCATTTACGTAACATATTAAATTTAGCCACAAGACAGTGAATAGTTGTAGACTATTCAAATGTAGGCATGTAATAAAAAACAAACACTAAATTCCATCTCAATAAAACTGAACTGCCAAATCAGGAGCTTATTATAATTTACCTTGTGACTAATTGGGAACAAAATCTGTACATGGGTTTCAAGTTTCAAATCTAAGCCTTAACATGAATAAATTCTTATTGGCTTACACTTGTTATAACTGCTGCTGAATCAATTTTACAAGTTTGATAAGAGGTTTGTCCTAAGCCTGGTTTTGTGATGCTACAGAGTATCTGCAATATTTTAAGGGCTGTCCCAAAATTAATTTAAATTCACTTATTTTTAACTATCATACAATACATGACCTTACATCCACATACCCACTACCTAGTGTTTAGAGAAAAGGAGATAACATCATGAAACCAAATCAAAACTTTAAAAAGGATGACAATCACTGAGCTTGACTCTAGAGTCTAGAGTCTAGACAGAATGAACATATTTAGAGAAAGTAAGCACCACACTCAGAATACTTAGAAACATGTAGGAGACACAGCCTTCACAAAAAGAAAAAGTAACATAAGATGAAGAAAGAAGAAAGAAGAGAGTAAGAAACAAGCTTTAAAAAAGAGTGAAGATAAAACATTCTCACTAACTTCTTCTTCCTGTTAAAAACAAACAAACAAAAATGAGCCCTGGTTCACACCTAAGATTTTTCTTGCAAGTCCTCATGCTGTATTTTAAATCACATTAATAGTAGGTAGGGGACTGGAGGAGGGCAAAGAAAAGGTAAGCAGTCTAATCACTTATCACTTTCCTCCCCAGGTTTCATTGAATGCCCAGGAACCTAAGTGGGAATAAAGGGAAATCAGAAAGAAAGAATGGGGGTGGTACAGGGTTGTTGGTCCTACTGAGGCAACAGGACCAAGGCATTGTGAATACAATGCAGGAGCCTGTCATTTGCGTGAGTCGAGAACTCTTTTATTTTTATAAAAGGAATCCCTCTTGCCCAAAGAAGCTCTCATTTCCATGCTATGGAGACAGAATGAGTTCCTCAATAGAATGGGTAAAAAGCAAAATCAGAATTAAGATTTAAAAACCAAAGACCTCAGCAAAGGGAGCATCCCACGTTCTTCCTATCTCATGCTGGAAGGTGGAGCTCAGGATGGTACAACCAAAACTGGGACTGGGTAAGTTCTTACTCAGTTTGCCCGGCTATAAAGAGCAGAGCCCGGAAGCACACGATAGGAAATGAAGTGCTACGCGGTCACAGACTGGACGAAAGGAGCCCTCACCCTGAGCTTGAGCAGCCTCCCTAGTCTTCCTCCCTCCGTGTCCCCTCATACCTGTCCACTGAAGATGTAGTCCAGGATCTCTCTCATGACCATCACCGATATCCCTTCAAGTTCGATCTTATAGGTTGATCCGTCATCTTTCGGAGGATTATAGTTTAACTTTGTCCTAAGAAAGGGAAAAAAAGTAAAATTTCTATGAAAGAACAAATAGGTATAAATATTTATGCACTAACTACTCTATAAAGTATATGATAATTGTCAGTATATGAACCCCAGCTAGAAAATTCAGTTAACGTTAGATCAATGTATGTTTCATAACTTTCAACTCCTAAACATGTGTTCCAGGACTCAGAATGCTCCTTCTTAAAAAATAAACAGACAACCAAAGAACTAAGATCCATGTGAAAAGGGCCTGTACTACTTCACCTTGGGAACCCCAGGCCGTTCAGATTATTTTTTCATGTATTTAATTATTCAATTATTTTCAACAATGTAACAAACCTATCAATCAAAACAAAAGCTACGGCCCTGACAATAACCTGCTTCTAACCAACAGCCCTCTTCAACAGTTCATTCCACTGTTTCCCCCATCTGAAGTAACTATTACCCTAAATACTATGTTTAATTTTCCTTTGATTTCTTTTTTATTATTGTATCCATGAAAAATATATAACATTATATCCATTAAATATATAATATATACACATTTATTATTGTACCCATGAAATACATATAAACATCCATGAAATATACAGTATATATAAATACATGTACATCTATAATTTTAAGTTGTTTTTAATTTTATAAAAGCGTTTCATGCTATCTGTAATCTTTTGGGGCCTTTTTTGTTTCCATTTAATATTATATTGCTAAGAGTCATTTATCTTGCTGCATATCACACTGGTTCTTTCTTCTCTGCTGTATAATATTCCTCTTTCTTGTTGATGGACCTCTGGGCCATTTCCAGGTTTTTGGTATTGTAAACAGTACTGCTATGACTCTTCTTGTACATGTCTCCTTTTGTACTAGACAAAACTAATTTCTCTTGGTTGTACTCCTGGGAGTAGAATTATGCTAATTATTCTCCAAAGTAGAATATGATACTAAATTACTCTCCAAAGTAGTTAGAGCAGTTCACAGCTTCATGGGGTATATGTAAGAAAATCTGTGGATCCACAAACTCTTCGACATCTGAATCTGTCATACTACGTTCTCCCAATCTAGTGAGTGAAATATGGTCTCTCGTCATTTCATGATCTGCATTTTCCTCACGATCCAGGTGCTGAACATCTCTTATGTTTGTAGTCACATGTGTTTCTTCTGTGAAACACATGTTTAAATTTCTTCTTAAGTGTTTTACTGAGTTCACTGTCTTTCTTATATTGAGGTGGAGAAGTGCTTTATTATATTCTTGATATGACTCCTTTAGCAGACATGACACATTTCTTAGGGTGATGAATTATTTGAAAACTTTTCATGGTCAATGCTTTTAGTGTCTTGTTTAAGAACTGGTACTTTACCCAAGGTCTAAAAGATACTCCTAATTTAGCAGAGGACAGTTAAGACACAGACTAAGTTGCACTCAAGACACCCCAAAGGACAGGAATTGGTAGTATGGGGAAGCTGTGGAAGGAGTAAAAGATGAGCTAAAAACAGAACAGATTGACAAAGTCTTAAGAAACAGGTGAATTCCCAGATCCTTCTTCCACATATATACACAACTCTCCTGCACAGTTTAGTAAGGCTCTCTCCAGCTCCAGAGGAAGATAAGTAATTTACATTCTGAAGGGTATAAAACTAAGGGTGAGTCTCTGGGCAGGGCGATAGCTGGTACATCTGAGGTAGGTGTACTGTGCCAAAAACTGAGTTAAGAGAATGCTTACATACGGAATGCTGAGACTATCCGTCTTCTTTCTCAACTCTGCTCCTAAACTGCTGAAGCCAGACCTATATCCTCCATGCAAGTAACTGGAAAACTCTTTTAGAAGATTTGATCAGCCCAAAAGGAAAGACTTAAAGTCAATAAGCCTAACTTATAAGCTCTGAACTTCCAATTGATTTTGGAGCAGCACTTCCAAAACTTCATGTCACACTGCTCGTGGAAAATGTAATCTTATTCTGGGGTAGACAGACGAGACTGGGTATAGGCCAGGGGTGGACAGAGGACTCAGCCTTTCGAGATGCTGCCTAGACACTCTGGGGCGGATACTATCATTATCTTCACACACCTGCAACATTTAATTTTTTGGCACACTGGTTAAGAAACTGCTTTAGAGCCTCACTCTTAAAATTGAGCAAACAGAACTCAACAGCTGTCTGAGAAAGAATGAAAGAAACCAAAACAAACAGAAAAAAAAAAAAAAAGCTTAGAAAAAGTCAAGATTATGCAAAATGAAGTCAAGAAAAAAAGAAAACCTCCCATTAATATTCACAGAGAGAAAAGAAGATATTGCACTCATGTAATAAGAACAGGATGCTATAAAAAAGGAACATTCAGGCCATGGCCAGGGTTGCTCAGTGGTTAGTGTGTCGGCCCACGGGTTCGATTCCTGGTCAAGGGCACAAACTTGGGTTACAGGTTCAATCCCTGACCCTGGTCAGGGCACATGCAGGAGGCAACCAGTTGATATGTCTCTCATGTCTCTCTCTCTCTTTTTCTCCCCCTCCTTCCTCCCTCCCTTCCACTCTCTCTAAAAGTCAATGGAAAAAATATCCTTGGGTGAGGATTAACCAAAAAAGAAGGAACATTCTGAGGATAACAAAAAAATGTTAAGGACTGCTATGTAAAAATTAACGTGTGCCCTACTGGTGTGGCTCAGTGGATTGAGCATCAGTCCATGGACTGAGAGGTCCAGGTTTGATTCCCTAACAGGTCACATGCTTGGGTTGGGGGCTCGATCCCCAGTAGGGGGTGTGCAAGAGGCAGCCGATAGATATTTCTCACATTGATGTTTCTCTCTCTCTCTCTCCCTAGAAAAATCACAAAAACATTTACAAAAATTAATTAATTAAAAATAAAAACTTGTATAAATTTCCCAGAAAAGAAAACAAAAAGAGAAAGGTAGAAAATAGGAGGACAAGTTAAGAAAATAAAAAGATCAGTCCAGAAGGCAGAACATCTGAAATACAGGGATACCCCTGCATAAAAGAGAATATTCTCAAGTATGTGCTCATAACAATGGATGAAATAGTCCCTTTGCAAGGCACATTATCATAATACTTCAGAATACTGAAAACAAGCAAACAAAATTCTTATATACGCTTGCAAAAAGGAAAACAGGTCACACAGAAAATAGAAATCAGAATGGCTTCACACTTCTCAATAGAAGTTAAATAGCAATGAGGAAATCAAAATTCTGAAGGAAAACATTTCCAACCTAGATTTTTTTATAACTAGCCAAAGTACCAATCAAATGTCAGCAGAGAATAGACATTTTCAGCTATACATGGTCTCAAAAAATTTATCCCCCGTGCAACCTTTCTCAGAATGATGTTGGAAAATGTGCTCCAACAAACAAGGCAGTGCATCAAGAAAGAGAATGCTCTTCGATACTAATGGGAATAATGAAGGACAGTGTTAGGACAACAGCTGTGTAGCAGTAGAAGGAAGCCAGTCGATTTTGGTGCCAATAGACCTTGGAAGACCTCAAAGATGAAACTGATGGAATATATAACTATCTGAAGGCATAAAGAGGATACTTAGAGAACTTTGTTTTCTTCCATATTTTATATCTGCTATTCTTGCCTCAATAGTTTCTACTGAACTAATAATTTTACTCAAAAGGTATTTCATTTCTTCTTGCTGCACCCCAGCTTTATCTATAAGCCTGACACTTTCACTAAAAGTAAAAAAAATTTCAGCCGATTCTCAATCAAGAGAAAAAAATAGTATAAGTGGTACAAATGATAGATAAACATTAATATTTGGCTCTGAAAAGCGTGATATACTATTTTGGCAGTAGATGTGTCTTCTAGTAAGGTGTCATTTAAGATGTCATGACTATTTGTATTTTCCAGTCATTGAAAAATATCAACATATCGCTTCTCAGATCCAACTTCACGCCTTTTGCATGCTCTATGAAAATGGATCTGAGCCTGTTAAAATAATTATCCTTGTCAACTGGCCCGATGTTACGGTTTCAGTAGAGGATGCAGGAAAGACGGCAGGAGCAGAGTTCTGCTCTCTGGTTCTGGCACAGGCTGGTGGGCTCCTACAACACAGCCTGCTCTTCAGCACCAGGCTCCCGCAGCGCACGCGGCCAGCGCCCTGCAGCTTCCCCCAGACTCTCTCTCAGGCAGCTTTCCAATAGTGTTTCTGGTGAGATTCCTGTCCATGAACAGGGCTGATTCAAAGCAAGTCCCACCAGTGGGGCTCCTCTGCCATGCAGTGAGCCATGGCTGTGCCTTGTCTAATCAAGTCTAGATCTCAGCCCTGAGGTGGCAGCTGCTTCTTTTATCAGGGATTCCTGTATTTTTTAGAGTTTTCTTTACTTGTTCTTAGCCAATCCCTCATTATCCAATCTTCTGTTGTAGTTAATAATAATTTTTTTTTTTTTTCCAATCGTGTATCTCCTCAGGAAAACAGGACAATGAGTGTTTGTCACCTCCTATGAAGAACTTCAATGTTGGGTTACCGTGTTAAGAGCTCCTGGTTTTGGTCCCACAAGCTCTCTTTGAAGTGACCTACATAATTCTTTATATTAAATTTTCTTTGCTCAAGTTGCTGGGCAGTCTAAAGGTTCCAAAATGTGTTCGGATAGAGGGGCCTCAACCTAGAATTAGAGTTGTTCTTATTTTACAGTAATTCATATTCAACCAGAATGGGCTGTGTGGGTTGTGGACTGTGGTGGGAGGAGAGTGACCTGGCTGGTAAGCAAAGTGGTTACAAGGAGACTGTTCCCCCTTTCTATTTTGAACCCTGACTGGATTCATTTGTGTTTTAAAGACAACTATACTGTCCTATGTTTTTACAATGGAAAAGGATCCCTTTTAAAGAGTAGTCTTCTCTCAGCGGGTGGCAGAGTATAAGACAATGGCTAAGAGAACAGAAAAAGAGACTCCTTTTAATCTGAGCACTGACCATTTCAGACTGCTATAAAACCTAATCCTTTACTAAGTCTCTCAACATCTGAAGGTAAATTATAAAACTTTACCTTAATTATGTTTTAAATTCAGACCCTTACACCTGCTCTCAGACCTTCCCATTTTTCTATCCCGCTTTTGACCTCCCCATTAATACCATCTATGCCCATCTGATTCCTACTCATCTTCTAAAGTCTACAAGGGGTTAGGGACAATACCCCACACACAGTTGAAAATCTGCCTATGACTTTTTTTTAACTGCCCATGACAAGGAATCAAACCAGCAACCTCCTGAAGCACAGGACGATGTCCAACCAACTGAGCCACACTGCATATGACTTTTGATTCCCCCAAAACTTAACTAATAATAGCCTACTGTTAACAGGAAGTCTTATCAATAACATAAGTGTCAATTAACACATATTTTGTATGCTATATGTATTATACATTATATTTGCTATAGAAAAGAACATGTTTTTTTAAAAATCACAAGAGAAAATACATTTACAGTACTGTATGTATTTATTTAAATAAGTCCATGTGTAAGTGGACACGTGCAGTTCAAACCTGTGTTGTTCAAGGGTCAACAGTAAGTCAAATGCCAGGTTCCACAAAATGATTTTCTATATCACTCCGTCTTGCCAAAGGATGCATCTCCACCCTCACCTCTCTGCAGGTAAAAATAATTTCTCCTGCTGTAGATTTCCCAGCACTTGATATTATGGGTTCATCATTTTTTCCATGTGGCATTTATGTAAATATCGCCTTTCCTATCTCCTTTATGAAACATTAAGTTCCTTTATGAAACATTAAGTTCCTTGAAGCCAGAGTCCTCTTTATCAATGTAACCATACAACCTAGCCTGGCAGTTTACAAACAACAGATGCTCAATAAGTATTTGTAAACTAAGTTTTTGAATTGGCAGTGGTCTTGAAATATTTGAAGTGCTGTCACAGGAGACTTGTTTCTGCACAACCTCAGGCATAGTGAAGCAGAACTGCATCAGTACGAAGAAAAGCTTGCTAATGATTCCATCTGTCCCACACTGAAAGGACTGAAGCACAGGCTTCTCAAACTGTAATGTTCACACGACTCAGCTCAGGATCTTGTCAAATGCAGGATCCAATTCAGAAGGTCTGTGCTGGGAGTCGAGTGTCTCCATTTGTAACAAGCTCTCAGATGACCCAGAAGCTGCTGGTGTACATACTACTCTGAGAAGCAAGGAGTTAATCAATACTTCTCCAATTATCCACAGTATGTTTTTGTATTTCTAATCCATCCCAGGTGAATATTTAGAAAGTTGCTAAGAGAGCAGATCTTAAAAGTTCTTATCACAAGAAAAAAAACTATAACTGTGTGTGATGGATGTTAACTTGACTTCTTGTGATCATTTTGCAATATATACAAATAACAACCCATTATGTTATATAACATTATATTTGTTTCAGGTATATGTCAATTATACCTCAATAAAAATTCAGAAGGTCTGTGGCCCAAAAGCAAAACATCAAACCTGGGCTTGAACTAGGTGGTGAGTTCCCTGTGCAGGACATGAAGACTGGTGAGGATTGCTTGCTATAGGTCACCATAGAAGGGACCAATCTCAAGTTCATGCACAATCAGGTTTTCATAGAACTGAATTGCATTCAAAAGTGCAATGCAATTCAAGGTAACTTTCCCCTGAAGGAATCTGTTCCTGAGATTAAAGAAGAGGTGAGCCACAAGTCCAGACACCAGTGGCCCACGATCTGCTACTGTGTTGTGTCTTTTCTCATATGTGGTGCAGTTCACAGCAGTGAGGGAGATCCCAGAAGAAAGACAAAGGGGAAAAGAAAAGACATACAATACAGGCTCCAATTATTTTATCATTAGATTCAATAGACATAAAATTACTCTGTCAAATTGCTACCAGAGTTGCTAAATTCTTACTCTCGATGTGTGTATGTATATGATCGTGGACAGGTAACAACTCAGAGACCACCTGTCTGCAGATGATGTCTTAATAGGCTGGATGACCATCTATCTGTGACGAATATAGTGAGAGTTGGTCTTTAGTCCTTTCCAATCTTAAATGGTAACAGTCATTCAAGTCTATTATGAAATAATCTTGGTTCATATCTGTTGTTATTCACCGTTACTTCCTTCTTTCATTTCTCAGTCACCATCCCTTTCTCATTTAATAATCTCATAAACTTATGTTATCCCTACTTTTTGTCTTCTCTTTTATCCCAAGTCTCCAACTAAATCTCTATATCCCTTAGGTTTTTGTTCCATTGTTTCATATTTCTTTCCTTCGGTGAATACCCTAATTTTTGTACGCTAAGTTTTCCAATATCTACAAGGAGCTATTCTTTGCACTCCTCTAGCCCAACACATTCTCTCCATAGCTTTCTCCTTTTATCTAGAGCAGTAGTTCTCAACCCTCCTAATGCCGTGACCCTTTAATACAGTTCCTCATGCTGTATGTGGGTGGATCTGCATGTGGGTGGACCTGCCTGGAGACAGATGGAGGAGCAGTGTCTCGGTTCCTAAGACCATAGGAAATATGTTTTCTGATGGTCTTAGGCAACTCCTGTGAAAGGGTCATTCGATTAACAAAGGAGTCATGACCCACAGGTTGAGAACCGCTGATCTAGAGTTTCCTCATCTTGCACATCATCTCTATCTCCTCTGTCAAATATAATAGAATCCAATGAACTGAATTGAGTGAGTTAATGAATTTTTAAAAAAGCTAAGATAGGCCCTGGCTGGTTTAGCTCAACGGTTAGAGTGTCAGCCTGTGGACAAGAGAGGCCTAGGTTCGGTTCCTGCTAAGGGCACATATCTCGGTTGCAGTTTGTCCCCGGTCCCAGTTGGGGTCATCTTGGTGGCAGCCACTCAATGTGTCTCTCTCACATCAATGCTTCTCTCTCTCTCTCTCTCTCTTTCTCCCTCTCTCCCTCCAGCTCTATCTCAAGATAAATGCAAGAAATGTCCTCAGATGAGGATAAAAAAAAGCTAAGCCAGCCCCACCAGTGTGGCTCACTGGTTGAGCATTGACCCAAGCACCAAGAGGTTGCTGGCTCAATTCCTGGTCAGGGCACATGCCCAGGTTGTGGGCCCAATCCCCAGTGAGGGGTGTACAGGAGGCAGCCAATCGATGTTCTCTCTCATCAATGTTTCTCTCTCTCTCTCTCAATAAAGAAAAAATATATATATTTTTAAAAGCTAAGCTAAAGGGTTAATAACTGATAGTTCTGTTTTTAAAGTTAGCTCATATATATGAGGAGGTAAATCAACTTTCTTCTCTGTTTTCCATCTCTACCCCAGGAAGTGCATATAAGGTTATATGTAAATACCACAATATCCTTGTTATTACTATGTGTTTGTCAATTTACAAACTCTCTCAGAAAATGCAGCCGTCTTAAATATCACGTTGAGAATTTCATAACACCGTTTGAAAAAACTAGAAATAATGAGTATGGTACCTCATGAGTATGGGCCTCAGGTATTCAGATATCAATAATCACTCCTGTCATATTATTCCCTCGTTTTCTGTTTCTAGGGCAAGACATTTCCTCTCTCTGCCCATGTTCTCATTTGTAAAAAGAAGAGGTTGAATGAGGTGACTTGAGAGCTCTCCGTCCCTGAGCATTTCTGGACTAACCTGCTGAAAGAGGCCATGAAGACTCTCCTCTGGAGACATATCCTGCTGTGCCCTAGAAGACAGAGTCCAACCAACTCAGTCAGTTTTCTAGGGTTTATGCCTTCTATGTGTCATGCAGTATAAATTTATTTTTCCTTCAATCACTTATCCTCTGGGCAAAAATTTATTTTCTATTAAAGTTGAACAGAAGTGAAACAAAATCAATTTCTTCCCCTTGACAACACTAAAAGGAGGTTTTAGGAGAAAAAAGTTGTTGCCTACTAGTTAGTAAAGAAGTTGGTATTATTTAAAGTGTTACATCCATGAATGAGGTCCACAACTTTTAAATAAGTGTAATGGAGCCAAAGTACTCTGTTGGTGGTATATGTAGTCCTCTTACAGGCTTCTAATTGCTGAAAAAGTTCAGTATGTCTCAGTGCCATAACAAACAACCCAGATAATCAGGTCTGCTCCTCCTCTTCCAAGAATCAATTTAGACATTACTGAAAAGGATTTGATTTAACAGTGACAAAGAATAAGTCTAAGTAACTTTTCTTCCTCTCTGATGCCAAAGCTTGTCTCCAATAAAAGCAAGAAAACATAATCAAATAGAATGCAAGAGAATGTAACATTCAAGAAGTCAAGATTTACCGAAATTCGGGAGTGATTCATGGCATTAACCATACAGTTTCAAATGATTCCTATCACCTCAAATTGCGCAGCTACCAAGAGCAGGCTCACTGAGATGTGAGCAGAGGGGCTGGGGCCCACCATTCCATTTGCTCACTTAGGCCAAACTAATAGTTTATTCTCCTGTGGGGAGTCTGCTTTACAGATTCCCATGCCCCATGCCCCTCTGTCTTCATGAGCTCCCAAGAACCATACCAAAAAAGGATCTCCAGCACAAAGGATTTTTAGGGCAGTGAAACTCCTCTGTATGATACCAGAATGGTGGATACATGTCTTGATACATTTACCCAAACCCACAAAATGTACACCACCAAGAGTGAACCCTAATGTAATCTGTGGACATTGGTGAGTGTTGGGTCAGTCGGGGATATGCAGGAGGCAACCAACTGATGTGTCTCTCTCACACTGATGTTTCTTTCTCTCTCTCTCCCTTCCTTCCATTTAAAAAAAAAAAAAAATTAATGGAAATATCGAGTGAGGATCAGCAACAACAATAAAAAGAGTGGCATTCTAATGGAAATTCAATACTATTGCTTTCCCTTCATTATTTTCTTTAATTTTCCTCTATTCATGTCTCTTTGCCTCCAATTTTTTTTAAACCAGAGAGATTACGGTTGTCACGTCTTTCCCATGAAAACTTTCCCCTCATATAGATCCTGGAATAACTCATAAATTGAATGGGTTTTGAAAGTAGCTCCCTAACCTGTCTCCCCAGAATGTTCTGAAGAGCTTTTCTAGATCTCTAGGCCCCACCCCAGACCAACTAAGTCAGGTCCAAGACTGGGTATATTTAAGAAGTTCCCCAGCTAATTTGGATACACCCCCTCCTCTTGGAAGGTTCTCCCCACCTCCCACTCCCCTAATCACCTGGTTTAACCCTTCACTGACTTCAGGGCTGCACTCCAATGACACCTCCAGAGAGCAGCCCAGGTACCATGCTATCTAAACTAACACCTGCAATCCCTTCCCTGCTTTAAATTTTTCTTCACAGAATGTATCACCATCTAAGAAACTGCACTTGTTTGATGTCAACCTCCATAAAAACAGGGACTTTGTTTTGTTTACTGCTCCATCCCAATACCTCATAAAGTGCCTGGCACCGAACAGGCACTTGGTAAATATGTATAACAGCATGCAGCCAGGTTCAGAAACCAGTGGATTTTAATGCTGCAGTGTCAGTCACTAAAACAAAGTGGCCCTCAAAATGAGCAAACCAGTTTCAAAATGGCATTAACAACCAGCAGAACAGCTGTGAGCTGTCCTGTACTGCATCCTGCTAGTTCGTCCACACTGAGGGGGGTGATGCTTTCCCATAGCAACCAATCCAGAGTGTGCTGTATAGCCAGCAATTCAGGAACTGAATGTCCAATGCTCCACTACTGCAAAGCCACCCAAATGTCCATGATGCACCACCTCTGTGCTGAGGCCGACTGGGCTCGAAGGCTGGCTGCCGAGGAGGTTCGCCGTCTGTGAGTAAGCCTAACTGTCCGGTGCGCCATCTCGCCCTGCTCCGTTGGCTTCTCCTCACCATCACTGGTGCACTGCAAGGGAAACTCAGGAGTGACCAAGCGATGGAGAAATGCAAAGATTGGGAAAGGTTTCTGGAAAATCGAAGGTTCACAGTCCAGGTGTCACCCCACCAACCCACACCGGGGTAATGAAGCTGAGGCAGAGCCGCTTTGCCACAGAAGATGCAGAATCCACGCCACAGAGGCCACAGCCGCAGCCCTCCCCTTCCCTGGCAATCTGCCTGCCCCTGACTATGCAACTCAGGAGGGTTCATAAAAAGTCCTCCATTTTCTCTTGATATCACATCATCCACTCTGAAGAAGAAATATAGCACTTCATATTTTGATCTGCTCTGAGTAACCATGTGCAAATACATCAATAACTGGAAGAAATATGAGAACAGAAAGCATATCCATTGAGTCACATGATTTGAACAAAGGGAAATTTATCTGAGGAAAGATGTTTTCTGAAGCGAGAACATGGAAAGTGCAAATTACATCTGAAGCAGGGGAACAGCTCAAGGAAACTTCTATAGTTTGCATGTGTGTTTGGGGGACAGGGAAGGAGGAAGGAAGGGAGGGAAGGCAGGACATAGAATATCACAGGGACTGTGGATATGCACAACTACAAGTGATATTAGTAACACCTGGCAGCAGCACAGCAACCCCTGGAGGGAAGGATAAAGTGTGACCAAACCAATAAAAACCATAGTGTCAGACAAATGACTTGGTTTTGTACAGGGAGTCCCTTCCCTGTTCCAGACTCAGTATTAAGTATGAAGGAACTCAGATCTAAATTATTTGGTGGTTCCCACCTTTGTGGAACTGACAAGCCATTACTTCTAACCATGGGCTTCCTGTCAGTTAAAATGAAATGTTGCAGCCATTTCTAGTAGCATTATGTTCTGTGATCTAGTGTCTGTATGTTCCACAATAATTTCTTTTCCCCAGCCTGCTGAAAACCTACTCCTCCCTCCCTGTTGTTTCCATCTTAGAAAATGATACTATTTTCTGCTCAGCTGCTTAAGCCTAAAATTTAGAAGTCCTACTAACAAATAAAAGAAGGACTGACCGAGTTACAAAGTATAAGTGGGAGCTAAAACCAACCAGTGAAAGTTGATGAAGAATGGAATACAGGCACACTTCATTTTACTGCACTCTGCCAATAATGCAGTGTGTGTGTGTGTGTGTGTGTGTGTGTGTGTGTGTGTTAACAATTTTTCTTTATTGATTTTAGAGAGAGAGGAAGGAAAAGGGAGAGAGATAGAAACATCGATGAGAGAGAACATTGACTGGCCACCTCCCCCACTGGGGATAGAGCCCACAACCTGGGCATATGCCCTGATTGGAAATCAAACCAGTGACCTCTTGGTACATGGTCGACACTCAACCACTGAGCCACAGCAACTGGGCTATTTGAATTTTTTTACAAATTGAAGCTAAGTTCCTCCACCAGCAAAACAGTTATGACTCACCAAAGGCTCAGAAGATGGTTAGCAATTTTTAACAAAAATCATTTTTAATTAAGGTATATACATGCCATTGCACACTTACTAGACTATAGTATAGTGTAAACACATCTTTTTATTTATTTATTTTTTCTTTATTGATTTTAGAGAGAGGAAAAGAGAGAGAGAGAGAGAGAAACATCAATGAGAGAGAACATCGATTGGCCGCCTCCTGCATGCCCTTCACTAGGGATTGGGCCCACAACCTGGGCATGTGCCCTGACCAGGAATTGAACTGGCAACCTCTTGTTGCAAGGGTCAATGCTCAACCAGTGAGCCACACTGGCCAGGCTAAACACAACTTTCCTATGTACTGGGAAAGCAAAAACATGTGTAACTTGCATTATTGATATATTCACCAAACCTGCAATATCTCTGAGGTATGTATGTATTCACATCATCTTGAAATATCACCCCATAATTGATTATTACAAAGATAAAAATAGTGGATTAACCTGAACACCATCTTTACCCACATAATCAAACTAATATTACCTATTTTGGGACAAAATAACATCATGGGCCCCTGATATGATATACTGAGGAGGACCCAATATCACTCTTGAGGGATTCTTACCAAAAATGCATCCATAATCTCAATCTAATTGTAAGAAATCAAACAAACCCAAGTTAAGGAACACTACAAAATACCCGACCAGTACTCACCAACATGAAAGACCAAGGAGCTGTCACAGACTGGAGGAGACCAAGGGGACATGACAAGTAGTGAATCACTGTAAACTTTGAAGCAGCTGCTATACAAAGTACAAGGGAGGCAAAAAGTAAGCTCCCAGGGAGACCTGGCAGAGAAGGCTTCACAGAGGTAGCACCTGCCCCAGGCCTCAGCGGAGCATTTTACAGTATACCAAGAAGGGACAGCAAAGGCATTGAATAAAGTGTTGTATATTCAAGGAATGACATAACAGACACAAGTAGTTTTGGTAGACTAGAGAGGAGAGTGGAGATAACGTTATGTGGGGGAAGGGGTAGAGAGGGGCGAGCTCCTGGAGGACCTGCACACCCTACAAATGAGTTTGGACTTGAGGGAAATGGAGCTGTTCATGAGGAGTGTTCATTTTTTTAAAAAATCTTTTGATTTTGAAATAATTTTATAGACTTATACAAAAGTTCTTAAGAATTATAGAGTTCCTGTATACCCTCACCTAGCTTCTACTAATGTTAATAGCTTAAATAATCTTAAAGGGTACAATTATCAAGACTAAGACAAAGATTGGTGCAATACTACTAAATAAACTTTGGACTTCATTTGAAATTTACCAGTTTTACCCATAATGTCCTTTCTCTGCTCTGGGATCCAATCTAGGGTTCCAAACTGCCTGTAGCTGTTGTGTCTAAGCTGTGACAGTTCTTTAATCTTTCTTCATCTTTCAAGATCTTGACACTTTTTGAGTACTGGCCAATTATTTTGTCCCTCATCTTGGGCTTTTTAAATTTCTTATGATTAGACTAAGCTGATGCATTTTTGGCAGAAACTATACAGAAGCATTGTCATGCCCTTCTCTGCATCATATCAGGAAGAATATGATGTCAGTATGTATTATTACTGGTGATGTCTGTTGGATTTCTCCACTACAAAGTTAAACTTCTATTTCTCCCCGTTACAAATAAATATATCAGAGGAGATAATTTGAAATACACAAATATTATTTCTTCCTCACACTCTGACCCGCTGATTTTAGTATCCACTGGTGGATGTTTGCCAGAAAATAACGAGGTGCTCAAATGAATAACAATTATTACTATGGTGTTCAAAGGATGGCTTTCTATTCTCTTATTCCTTCTTCATTTATTAATGGAAATTCTTCTGTAAGAGAGAGCTGTCTCTTCAGCCCCATTTATTTCTTTTATTCATCCTTCATTTACTCATCCCTAGACACGTTTCTTGCTCAAGTTGTTGCAGGTTTGGCCTTTGGAAGTTCTTTCCGATTGGCTATGTTGATCTTCTTTTGAGCACCTCCTTCCCTTCTGGCACAAATACTACAGACTCCTGGTGTATTTTTCCTGCCCAAGTGCCTAAGCCAACCACATCTCCAAAGACATTAGAGTTTTAAACATGATCTAATTACATTCTCAAAACATCACTCTAGCAGCAGTGTGGAACTGAGCATGGAGACAGACAGACCAGTAAGAGAATTATCCCATCATAATTCAAAACTAATAAAAGTTAGAACATGAACAGTGGCGATGGTGAAGAGTAGACAGATTCCAGAGTAGAGAGGCTGAATGACAGGTCTCAGGATCAATGATATGCTGAGGAGTGAAGGAGGAAGTGGAATCCCCAAGGATCCCACATTTCTCCTGCGGACTCGGGTACCATACTACCCTACACAGTAAATGAAGGACAATCTACTTGGGGGCAGAGGGAACTGAGCCTGCCTGAGGTTAGGGTGGCTGTGTATGGGCTTGGGGCT